GAGTTTCATCAGTCAGCAATTGTCAGTGCTACATTTTTCTAGGTCAGCTTGGTGTGTTCGGGCCTTTACAGGCCCAATGGACTTTGTCTACTAATGTTCGGATAAGGACAGAGCAAAATGGCTCTTGGATTTGTCAGACCTATAGGAACTAATGGAGACAGATGGATTTGACAGCAAAATGATTTATTTTGCATTTTTCATAATGTGGAATCCATCCCTTTAGTGGCACCTTCCTTTGTGACTTTTTTTTACTTTATTCCCGTCCCTTCAAAATGCTTGAAGAAGCAGCAGATAAAAGCATCCACCAAATAGCATATGATGGGCAGCCCACCCAATCTCTGAACAAGCACTCCACCAATACAGTGGGAACAGTAGGGCCATATGAAATCCGTATTTATTTTTCCCCCAAATCTGTGCTTTACAATTTAAGCACATTTTGTCATCAGAAAAAGTGATAATATAATTATATAATATAATCATGTGGTGGACTAGTAAAATTTCAACAATTCAATAAGAAAATATAAAATAAACTTTAATTTTAATCACTATTACTATATTAGATGCAGCATGAAAATATGCATATAGAAATATTCAAATGTGCAATAATTTATTTTATTATTATTATTATTATTATTATTATTACTACATCAAATATTTTATTTTTATATTATTATCTGTGATGAAATAAAGCAATTGTGAAATTGATAAAACCTGTAACTGCCACACTGCCATTGTGACCACTCAATTCAAAGTGCTGCCACGCAGCTGAGGCACTTTATTTACTCTTTGATGTGAACTGGAGCATTATGTTCACTGCTGTGAGACGGATATCAGTCGTGCGGGAAAAAAACACAAGATTCAAATCCCAAAAATGAAAATCAAATACCTACCCAACAATTGAATATTCGAATATTCGGGTCCAGCCCTATTACAAAACTTGACTGAATGCAGCTTTTTAAATTTTTCTATTGGAATATCTGACTCCGACCATACAGCCATGAAGTCTTTAACAAGCTTATGTCTTGCATCTGCCGATGTGGTTGCACTTTTGAGAGTTTACTGAAGTAATGAGCTCTTGCTAGCATGCCGACTTCGATATGATGATGTGTGAGCAGGGGGTGCTGAGTCCTGCACTGAGTGAAACACAGAGCAGAGAACAGAAGCTGTGCCCATAAATGACACCAAAAGGTAGCAGTATAGTTTTTTCTGTTTGTTTGGCTGTGCTGTACAAAAAAACGCATTTTAATGCTACAGAAACCACAATTTAAATAAAATGCATCCATAGTTTGGCTGACTCCACGATATTCCGCGTTTTACAATTGATTCCACTTTTATTCAAAGTCCCTGTTTTCCATATTGCGGTAATCATGGGCCTTAGAACAGGTAATAGAGGTATTAGATGACATATGGTTGTCAAATATTCCCTATGGGCAAGTTGTTCAATGTTTTTCTCACCTTCATGTTTCCTTTTTTGTCAAACACTGTATTAATATTAATGCTTAGTGCAAACTTTCATTAACCGACTGCAATCCTAATTAAAACTGCTGCAAGCAGCAATGAGGGGGTGCTTGTACCTCCCACGTCGAGGTGTGGACACTGCACAGGAGAGTTAAAGCCAGTCTTTGATCTGGATGATAAGGACATTCAGCCTCTCTCTCCCTCTGTGTATTTGTTTTTTCGACACCCTGAATGTTTTGTCCTACTATGTGTTTGTGTGTCCTGTCTCTCTTCAGCTTGCTATGGTGGAGAGGAGGTGGCCTCAGATCCTACTTAGGTGGCGCAATAACTATGACTCCAAATTGGCATGTAAATGTCCCTAGTCTGGTACTTGTTAATTACATGTGAAATTTGGGAAAGATCTGATGATGGAGAGCAGAGGTAGCACAGGTACTAAATGTGAAACATCAAAACATGGAAATCCAATGCCATGGAAAAGAAAACTCAAAAGCGTCGCAATTTAACACCGCAAAGGTCTTTAGATTGCATTGCCCAAATTTGAAGTCAATAATTCTCTAGGATATATGGGCAAAAATAAATCAAAATTGCATATTATTGGATTGAGGATATGGCTTCAAAGGGCTTCCTTCAGTACTGAGATGACACATCGCCTCCCAAATTTTGTTGAAATTTTGTAGGGGGCGCTATCATACCATTATTCCACACCCATGCTCACGAATTATATCAGAACACACAATACATCCCTTCTGATATCTTTGCAATGTTTAGTGAGTTTTCAAGCATCTTTAGCCTCTCAAGAAACAGCTTCCTGTTTTATGATGAATAATGCCTCTCCATGGCAAATGAGTTTATACAATATCAAAAAACACCAGCTTCACAGAATAAAATCATCATGGTCATAAGGCTTTTTTTGCAGAAATTTGAGATGGATCTGGTCAACTTGCTAGAAGGAGCCTATCAAAATAAAATAAATGTCATTTCCTGTTGCCAGTAAGTGACCCAATGACTATGCCTGAATATATATATATATATGACCATCTACAGTCCATCTACACACTACTTCCTGTTTCATGGCAAAGCATAAAAATTTTGTCCACGCCACTGGCACACCAATTGCCAAAAACTCAAAAGCTTCACACTTTAACATCACAAAGGTCTTCAGATCGCACTGCCAAAATCTGAAGTCGATTCGATGAATTCTCTAGGAGGAGTTCATTAAAGTATGGAGCCTGTAAATAGCAAAAAAATGCCCTAAAATTGGATAATAAATTCAAAACAGCTGAATTCCTGTTGCTGAGTATTGCTTCAAGAGGCTTTTTTAAAAGTCTGGCCATGATGCATGTGCCTCCCAAATTTGGTACATCTGGGTGAAACAGAAAGGTGGGGGCTTCTGTTTTGCAGAAGTAAAACAGAAGTGGTCGCTGCTCGGTCCTTAATTATGACATTTTAAAATACCATCTAGTGTTTTTTTACCTGCAGTCAAATGTAGAACTTTAAGTAACTTTCGTGGTTGTTTTCTTCCTTATGACTCTGTTTTCTGTATCTTCAAAATAAGTTATGAATCATGTTCAACATTCTGCACTTCTTAAGGCCTTTATAATTTCTGTTTATAATGCGCTTGTGTATAAAAAAAGAGAAGAAGCCCTAACTCTAAACACTAAAGTTCAAGGAGCTTGTCATAGATGAGGAGAGAAGGGTTTTCAGTGACAACTTAAGCTCTTAAACCAAAATATTAATGTTTTACAATCTACAGTCTTCACTTTCAAGCAACTGTGTCAGTATCATGCTGTTCATTGAAACGTGTCATAACATTTCAAGGTCATCCATCAATTTTCAAACACTTTTTAAAGCACCTATTTTATTCCATCTCCTTTTTGCTTAAATGCATGTTTCAAGAACTTTCAAAGCACATTGAAGCAAACGCAGTGGAGAGAAGATGGTGAGATAAAAAGACAAGCAGATGACAAGAATAAGAAGAAAATGAGGAGTCAAATGAATGTTCAGGGACAAGGAAGGATGGGAGGGTCAGGGATGAGAGCTGAGCCAGAAAAAAAGTGAAGAATGAGAGGAGAGACGATGATAGGGATGGAGGAGGAGAAAATGAGGGATGAAACAAACCATCTGGAACATGAGACAAAAAAATAAATAAATAAATAAAACAAACAAACAACTTCTGTGCCTCCTCAACATCTTATTTAGGAAGAGTGCTGCTGCCAAGTGTGAATGTGTGTTTGTGCGTGTGGAGAACGTGCAAGAGTGTGCTGCAGATTGGGTTGTGCCGTACAAATACTGAACATCGCAAGAATTATAATGGCAAACGTATAATTTAAAATGCCAAACAGGGAATACATTTTTTATGTCAGACATGTTTGTCATTTCAGTGTCAGACAACACGTTCAATAGAAACATAAAGACATTTTAATCACCTTAAACTGTAGCTTATTAAAACACAACAGCTAACGAGACACAATGTCATTATGAGATCCTTATGTTCTCTTATCACGTCTTTTATTTTCTCTCCCTCCCTGAATTCAGTTATTTATGCAGTTGCATTGTAGAAACCGCACACCATAATCACATCTTCATTAATATGATTGCGCATACGGCTGCTTTTGTCAGCACTATCTCTCCGATCTACATACAGCCACAGAGTGGGCTGTGATTTGAATAACCAGGGGCTGAGAAAACACTATGGTCAGCACTATTGGTCCGGCGTGTATAGCTGCATATTTGCCAACAGTAATTGTGACTATATGAGAGATTTTCCATGTGGATCAAATTATTGCACAAATGAATTACTGTTTAAACCAACCACAGCATTATCAGTCCCCTCAAGGTTGGGGAATTACATTTTTCCCAGGAAAGGTGGCAGATTTGGCTGTGAACTACTGTCTCATGAGTCGAGATAGTGCTGAAACTCCAGAATACGTTAATAGATTTTTTAAAACTCTATATCATTTTCATTAAAATATATTATAAAATACCACAAAATAACTATTTTCCAACTGTCTTAAGTCATTCTCTAATTAGCCTTTACCCTGGAAATACTTGGTTGCAATATTCCATGGCAACTTTCAATACCTTATTCATGAATTGAATTTACCCTGATAATGGAATGGGAGTTCTTGGAAAGGAAATGACCTTTAAACTTTATCACACAAATGAAGGGCCTGTACTTTAGTGTTACATGATAAAGTTACAGGTGTCTTTTGTCATACACAGTAAGTGAGTTTACAGTCTAAACCACCTAAACTGTATTAGCTGTTTTAGATGTGACACATGTTAATGTTAAGATGAGGATGAATGATTGGATTTAAAGAATCTCCTGAAAATACTACAAAGATATTTAAACAACATAGCTTTGATGTGTTTTCGTGTTATAAGGTATATTAACTGGGTCAAAAACAAAAAACACCCATCTAAATACCTCTACTCAACAGTAGAAACCATGTGCCTCCAAAAAGACAACCAATATCACCACAAAAGCCATAAAAGGTAATTTTAATCAACAAGTGAAACATCTTTGCTATGGTCATACTCACCCCATTCTTAGGATAGGCCACCCATCCTAGGTCTCCCATCACAGAGCGAGAATCCAGCAGGTTCACTGTTAAAATATTTAAAACACAGACAGTCTTGAGTATAGACAACCAACCAACCAATGAATCAAAACAAAATCCAAAAAGGACATATCTGAGATTTTGACTTCCAAGTCCTTTAACCCAGCGTCTAACAATCTCATAGTGTGTTTCCATCTAGACGTGCACTCAGTAATGTGACCAAAGATTAAACCATTTACAGTCATTATAGGTATTTAGCTGATAAAGGTCATATTGTCCCAGGTGCATAACAATGGTTGATTGCCATGCAGATTCAAATGTGAGTTTTGAGAACTGACACAATCTCAATCACAAAATGAGGATAAAGAAAGAACTCGTAAATAATGTAAATTCACTCCGGAGCTGTTCCTCAGACCAAATCTTGGGACAGGTACTGTAATTTCTTATCCATTTCTTCATGGATTTGTGTGTCTCTCTTATAGGCAGACAGAATAAGGAGCACTTTCCATTTGTATAAGGTAGTAAACTGGTTTTAAATAAAGACAGATTTTTAGTGCATTGAAGTGCCAAGTCACTTCATGGGTCAGAGTTGACATAACACTTGGCATAGCGTGGATTGTTGTGCTAAGAACAGTGGCTATTATCTATTCACACTCTTTACTAGAGCTGCACTTTTGTGTATCTTGTTGACCAAAAACTGCCACTCAACTCTATACTCCAACAGTGCTCTCAGCTCAAACTGATCTATTAAAATCCTCCATTCTCAGCCTCTCTGCTGAAAGCTGTCAGGGGCAATTACCTGACCACTGCACTCCACAAAACATGTTTCCAACTCCTCTGACAGTGTAGTCTTGTGAGTTGTGACTTATCTTCCCTATCAGTGTGTCCAAATACTTCTACAACAAAGCCACAAAAGTTCTTGTCAAATGTGTACCTCGCTGAGGCAACTGTGAGCTCAAACAGGAATTTGTGGACACATTGGAAGCAAAAGTCAAAGCCATGAACATGTCGTCAGGCAACAAACTTTTCTTTGGTGGCTCTGTGTTTTACCAGAGAATATACAGTTTGGGATAAATGTAAAACTTGATGATGATATGGCATGGAGCTCAGCTTGAAGCCTGTTCATGAGAATGCTGAACGACAACTTGTCCAAAGTATGTTTCAGTTACTGGATGATGTTTTTACACAATGTAACACAAAGTGAAAAATTCCCAACCAGCATTTTCACAGGCATTGAGTACAGTAACGCATCAATGAACATATGGTGTATCTCCTTTTAGGCTCTCTTGCAACAGCTTCAAAACTCGTCTTAGTTTGCCATGACATGACATGCACCGTCATAAACGTGACTCAGCTTTAGTCAGGCTGGAGTTCAGTTTTCTTAATCTTATCTATGATAACGTTTGGTAGGCTCTGTGTCTGACACAGTGTGTACTCAAACAATAAAAGAGAAAGTCCAACTGAATGACCCATTGTCAACCTTTTGGTCTCCATGAAAGGGGAGCGGATTAAGAGTTAGACATTTGAGAGTAGCACTAATAGAAGCAAAGCAGTGTCTGTTACATGCTAGGTGGTCTTAGAAATCTCCCTTTTAGAATCTATCCAGGACACTTAACCACCTGGCCTCACAAGGTGTTCATTTGTAAATTCACTGTTTTAGTCCCGTTATTCTACCCTTTTTTGTTGAATGCTTCAAATCATTGCATACAGTAACTTCACTGTGCATTTTGTGCTTCAATAAAACTTCAAGCCAACCAATATCACCAAAATCAGGTGCTGGAGACTGACTGATTCTTCGAGGCATGCATTTCATATAGTTATTGCTAATAGTACTTCTTCTAATGGTATGCTGCATCAAGTTGAGGGCTGGGTTTATGCACTCTTTTCCCTGATATAACCACTGTCGATTTCAACTGTAGTTAACAGCCATCTTCTTTGGTGCACTAAGCTGGCAAATTATGGAATATCAGCTTTTCTTGTTAATCACAATCATAAGAAAGGTGCCCAATATTCTTACATGCCAATTCACAATATTAGTAACTAACTCAATAGAAATTTTGGGATTGGATATGTTAATTATTTTCCCACAGTAAATGACAAAATAACATGCAACATGCAAGTGCTCAATAGAGAGAGAAAGCTGGGCACATTATTAGATGTTTTGCACCTTTCTTTGTTTGAATTTCATAGAGCATCACAGACCAGCCAGGTTGAGAATATGTTGCTTACTTAACATTGCAAGTGTTACTTTGTACCGCTGTTTACAGCTGCCAACTAGAGAAGTTTCCTGGCGTAACACTGATAAAGAGCAAACACCAACACTGTTTGTCAATCATCCAAAGGTTTAATGTCATAAATACTGTCCATGTCAACATATGAAGCGAGAGCTAGTTCCGTAACTGAGACACACTCACTATGCAGCCCCTCCCAAAACACACACACACACACACACACACACACACTAGTCTTACTGTCTCCACTGCTCTGTGGAGAATAATAAAAGATGTCCTTAGGAGGCGATTAGACAACTAATTAGGCCATAAAGAAGAAATAAGTGATGCTGAACTAGATCATAAGGGATGTGTTACCTCTTTCACTCTCACTCTCTCTAAGGATCAAACCACCTAACAAGTTAGAGCTCAGCCGTGACAGTGATCTACAGAACGTATTAATAAAAGTCATCACCACTGAATGAATGATGTGATTTAAAGTCTTGCAGTGACATTATTTCAAGGATACTCTAAAGTATTGCAAATATGTTGAAGAGTTAGTGGATTTTCAGCATGGGGCATACTTATAAAACTTGATAAAACTTGAAATAACAACTTAATATTTGATGTGAGAGGCACAAGGCTGCCTGGGTATTCATTTTCAATTGCACACTATTAGCAATCTTGTAGGTGATGGGTTTAAGTCCCAACTTGACCTCAGCGAACGCAAATACAATCTTGTCTGAAACCATCATACCTCCTATTTCTGAAACCAATGGTTAAAGTATTAAACTTGTAATTCCCATAATGCCTTAGTCTCTTTAGTTCTTTTTTTATTTGGATTGTGGCATTTACATGTTAGCTCGAATCGCTCCGGGGTTAATGGTCTGTCTTAACTCTCACGCACAGATACACAGGCAAACATGCACTTCTCTCAAGCCATTTACTGTAATTAACCCAAATCCACCAGCCTCGTTTGATCAACACCATTACCAACAAAAAGCAAAGTGATGGGTTTTAAACTCTAAAGTGTAGGCTCATTCACCCCAGATCATCCTCATTAGTCAGACATTGTTAATCGAACACAATAACAATCTCTGAAGCAGATGTTAGACATCCGGCTCTTTCCTTAGTATCATTCATCAGTGGTGGAGCCTCACTGCAAGATAACTGTCCTCACTACATGAGAAATGTTAATATACTGTAATTAAGGAGGCAGCATAACTTTTCTTTGTTCACTTTTTTTCCTTTAATTTGGGGTACAAACTTAGCATACATATGCAAATTAAAGGTGCACTTTAATTTTAAAAACTGCTGGATGAGTTACGTCTGTGGGGACACATCACGCTGCACAACTCAGCATGCAGCCTGATGTAACTCTCTTTATTAAGACAAAATTTGAGACTGGCAAGTGGCCAAAGTCCCTAATGATTCCTGAAAGATATCTGAAACCTGATAAAAAATGGTGTAATCTTACTTTTTCAATTACAATAAATTACCCCAATGAGAGAATAGCAGTTATTTTAATTATGGGGTTCACCCTCCTCTCCAATTATTCATGCAATGTACGATTCTCCATTCCAATGCAAATATGTGCCAAATGAATCTGAAATTTGTGTTGAATGGCAGCCTCTGGCAAAAGCTTCTCCAGGGGTTAGGTGTTTTATGGCTTTATTTGATGTGTTTTGTATAAGTAGCAGAAGTTTGTGGTTTTTCAGTCAAATTTCACACTAGCACATTAGCACTTTTAGGAAAATAAAAACAGGTTTTTAATAATGTGCTGCTGCAGAGCAAAACTGCAAAATGAAGACAGCAAAGAAAAGAAGTGTCTGACTAATATGATGATGATCTGAGAGATCCAATGCAAACTTCTTTCACTCTCTCTCTCTCTCTTTCTCTCTTCATTCACTGCAGTCAAAACACTAACTTACGATCCAGTCTGCCATTGATTCACAATCCTCACAGCCTGAAGCTTGAAGGCTGTGTTTTAACCAAATGGGAATTCAAGTATTTCAAAATGCAGTTATCAGTATTGGTACTTTGGAAGTAATATACTCCTTTATCTGATTTTGGTGAAATGTTACACTTTCAACTCTTTTGTGGGATTCCTTTGTCAGTTTGCACCTGTGTCAAAAAAAGCCCAAAATCCAAGTGCAGTGAATTATTTCAGAGTAAGCTGATACAAAGACATAATAAATTCAAGGTGAATGTTAACTATTTTTATATTTTGCCACAGGATGCACACACACTTTTGTGAATCTAAACTCTGACCAAATAAATCTGTCATGTGAAGAATAAGCAAGTTGATGAATCGTCTCTCTTTCCCGGATAATGCTGTCTAATAGCCCCAAACAATGGCATTCATCTCACGCTGTTAAATGTTGCTGTCTGCTACAATGGCGTGGGAACAATTTCGATTAACTGTTTCATACATTTTACTCTTTTCCCTTTTCTTATTTTAAGCCACATCCATATTTGGCATTTAGTAGAGGGGAATGCAGGTGCATTCAGTTAAGATGAAAACTGATTAGCTAACAGTTTGCAATCCACTGCACTGAATTGTCTGCGCCAAATTATGATTCCAAATAAAACTGTTAATATCTGAGAATTAAGAGTACTGCAATCTGAAGTCGTTAACTGTCAGGCACGTTGACAGGATTCACAAGTGAAAGAATTCAGTCAGCATCTTTAGAGGCAGAATGCCAGACTAGACTAAACCTAAAATAACCCTTTAAGAGAAATATCGCAGCGAAAGCCCAAAAGTTCACATTATTTTAAGAGATTAAAATAAACCACCAAGTCAATTAAAACTGACTTATACCACAAAACCAATTCAATCAAATGCAGAATTCCATTAGGGGTATTTATCTTTTTTTTTTTTTTAAATTAAATACCACAAAGTGTGTTAATGTCATCTCAACAGTGTGAGCACCTTACACGCTGATAAACGTTTAGGACTAGTACTGTGATTTTTGCAGCACTCCGTGCGTCTCACGGCGCTGTCAAGTCCTCAAATGACTGGTTATCTGGAGAGACGCACGTTCTGTCCAAAGGTCTTTTTTTTATTTCAGCTTCTACCGCTTCGGAAAACACAGTCATTACAGACGTGGGGACGCAGCACATAAATATTATGTGCTCAAATACATTTGATTGGCGACCTCCTTTTTGGTCAAACGGCGTTGGAAATGTACAGCCAGCCAAAAGAAGACCGACGGTCTGGGGCAGAGGTAGCCTAGAAGACGGACCTTTAAGCGGTCAGACTTGTCAGTGACGATTAAAGCACAGCCGTGCACCAAACAACGGTGTTATTAACCCGAAAGTGTCTGTGCGTGTTTTACCTTCGTTTGCGGGGATGCACAATGCTCCGAGCAATGCCAGACTCCAAACCCACGTCCATGCCACCAGCCGAATGCCACAACTCCACCAGCGAGACTGCATGGCGCATCCAAAAAACACAACTGGTAACAGGGGGGGGATATTTTTCCTAAACAACAGCAGTTTCGGTCACCATAAAGCGGGATACCGTAATAAAACCATCTGTATCATTATGCGTCCGCGCAGAGACAGAGGAGCTCATACTATGCGGCGGGTAGAGGAAGGTAGCCTACTGGTGCGCTCTGGGTTTGGGGAGGCGGGCAGCGCGCCGGGGGGCGGAGTGAAGCGCAAGTCTCTCCAATCACGGACCCTCCACAGGTGAACCCCATTGCTGTGGGACTCGTTACTCCAAATGATAATGGATTAATCTTCACTCTTAGTACCACTTCAAAATGTAACGTCGTTTATTTATGGTTGCCTACCTATTATGGTACCTAAGCTTTTCGAGCTTGTTAGTTATAAACCTTGTTACTCTAGGTCCAGTCATTAAAAAAACATTTAATGATACTTTTTATGCTGCTTTCTGATACATGCCTCCACAATGAATTGGAGGATGGGGATTGTGAATTTCAGATTATTTAGTTTTTAAGAGCAGAATGTCACAAGCTTGGCATTTTATGATCAATAGCTTAACTGTATTACCAGTGAGATGTGTTTAGCCTAATATTTCATCAGTTATTGGAATATCACTCAAAAAAACCCTCTTTATCCTGATGTAGCACCCCAACTCTCAAAAGTTAGGACTGTGAATGCAGAAGTAACTCCACTGTGTGGAGCAAATGCATGTCATATTAGGGGTGATAAGACTACGCTACATTGGCCTAATGAGCATATAAATAATCATGGATGTAAAGCTGTGATTTGATATTTGGCAGCTGTGCATGCATGTGGCCATGAAGCGCCATACCATCAACAATAAAGGCAAGATGTATGAAAGAAATCATCAATATTTTCTTTTCATACTTTGGCCAGGCAGCATTTTCTGTCTGCCTACATTTTTTTCAGTCTTTGTCGTGGGCTTATTGGACAACATTAGGCTTCATGACATCTCATGGTTGGAATTTGGGGTGTAGACTTGCCAAACTGTGAAATATTTCCTATTTTAGTCTTCATCTGATGTCCATTGTTGGTTTCACTAGATGGTATTGTTGTTCTTTTTTTAAATATTTATTTTGAATTTTGGCTTTGTTTGTTAGTGACAGCACAGACGGGGAAACATAAAAACAGGAAACACGGGGAAAGAGAGAGGAGTACGACATGCAAAAATGTCCCTGGCCAGAAATAAACAAGGGACAAGGGTATGCATCATAACCAGGGGGCCATCAGGACACTCCGATAATCCTCTTTCTATTCAAGAGTGGCGATCAAGCTTTGCTGTCCTGGTTCATATTATTGAACAGTCTCCCTCTGGGGGCCAGGTCAGCAAACTCTGTTGAGTGTCTTACATCTCATGTCAAGATCTACTTATTCTTAAAGGCATTTTTGATGCTTCTATGCCCCTACATGTTCTCATTCTCCGTTGTACTTAACATTCTTTCATTTGTAATGGCGAACCACATTGTGGCTTTGATATTTATCTAATTACACATATTTGTACTGTTACAGTAGTGCCATTTAGTTGTGTTCCACCATAACTATGAGTCTGAAGGTTTTCAGGATGTGATTTCAGCGATTAGTTCCTCCTCTCTGGCTGAAAGACTCTGAGTGCAATTTGAGATTGACCTTGAGATTACCAATTTAAACAAAGCAATACCAATTTTACAAATAGGAATGTATGAAATGGTTCAGCCAGTTGATTCATTGCACCAGGAAAAAGTGGAACAGGCTATACAGACACTGTTAAACAGTAACCATTTTCTCTTAAATGTGCCCTTAAGCACCTTAATGAGTCCCTCAGTAGAGTATATGTGCACACACCTTTGAAGTTTGAATATTAACCACCATCCCCTGCACAAACACACACACATATACCCTCCACCAACTCTTTACACTGTAGCTGTGAATGACAGTTTGTTCTTTGTCTGCTTTCTGGTTAAATATGTGTTGAAATAAAACATTCTTTTTGCCACATATTCTTTTCTTCAAGGCTCCTCCTGCAAAGTTAAAGCTGTAAGGCAGTGTTGTCTTATCATGATTCATCAAAGTGTGTTAAATTAATTTCTATCTGTGGGATCATAAAACTGTAAGATGTCATTTAATGATTGTGTAATGGCATCTTGGCTTTGATTTCCATTTTGCTACAATTTTCCTTTTCTGTTATTTCTCACCATCATATTTATTCTCTTTCACTTTCTCCCTGTTACCTGTGGACAAATGCATACTGTACTGTTGTCTCTTTTTCTCTCTTTCTCTCCAGGCCATTCTCTCTGTCTTTATCTCTATTTGTTTTTTACTCATTCTCTCAGTTTTTGCTGTTATTTTTCTGCCTCTTTTTTTGTCTCCATGGTGTGATAGAATCTTTGATCACTGAAGGATTGTGGGTGATATTCCTGTGGCTTTACCCTGGTGACACCTCCCACACTCCTTGTGTACGCACGCAGACGCAGACGCAGACGCACACACACACACATACACCTACATACAGGCTTGCATACATCCATACATTGTTTAATTCCTCACTCACCCAAGCTAGAAACACACATTGGGACCTCACTGTGACCTTCTTTGTCAACCCCAATTGATGCATGAATCCTCGCCTTCTATTTTGGTCACACATTTGAGCATCTTCAAATCTCAAATGTTGCCTCTTTCACCGCTGATGATAAACATTGTTTGCCAAGCACAACCTTAACTGTAGGTGTAATGTTATGGTTGTGGTGGTGTATTGTAGATGTGTAGGGGTCTGATCAGCACTGACAGCAGGTGTGGAGGTGGTTCTGCGATGCCAGAAACTGTTGTTGTTTTCTGAGGTGTCGTCGGTTTAATTGTATAAAATGTCTGCGGAGGAAAGTGCAAGAAAAATCCACCCCCAAACCTCAAACCACCCCCTAACAGTCAGCCATCAGTGATGCATCTTGTAATTTTGGGTTGTATTTTTTTTGGTCCTTTGGGTGTTTGGTAAATTAGTGCATGATGTGACATGAGGTTTAGATTTCTTTCCAGATCTGCTACAATGGAGTTTTATTATTCTCAGAAAACCACATGCATTAAACATCATTTTACAACATCAAAACATATTTTGGAGCAAACAACAGGGAGCAACATCAGCATTCATTTGAAATCGTATTTTGGTCATAGTCTTGGTGAATGTAAAGTCCAACAGTTGCTGTCCTACTATTTTGATTTGGTCTCCACCATGCTCAAGGTTCAAAATTTTGTTAGCTACTGATTCCACATATATATATCCATGTTATTACTTCTTGTTTTACCATAATAACTCCTGTGATGTCCATAAAAAGATTTGTCAAATAAAGTAGCACTAAGTTTAGTGACATGGCATCAAGCACACTAGTATATCCAAAACAAACTGAAACACAGATAATAAAATGTAAAATGTGAAAATGGGCATGATTTTGTTTTCACTATAGCACAGTGCCATATTAAAGCATTTCCCAAAACCAGTGGTTTGGTGCAATCAGATGTGATGGTACCTTGGGGGCTGAACAGTCAGCTGTGATTTTGTGTCTGCCCACTCATGACAGTAGGGGAGGGAATGGGAAAACAAGGTCAGGCAGGGTCAGTGGAGCACACACACACACACACACACACACACACACACACACACACACACACACACACACACACACACACACACACACACACACACACACATACACACACACACAGAGGCATGGAGTACCTTGTCGTTGGCAATAAAGACACCTTTGTCTGTTGCAGAAGTTGGAAGTCAAAACGGACTCAGTCCTCCAACTGCAATACACCTTTCCTGCTATTTGCAGAAAGAGCATGATTTTGCAGCACATACAGGATATTCGTGTGTTAACAGAAATCAAATAAAATTGCAATTTTACATTTTTACACTTTACTGACAGATAATACAAACATTCACACAAAATAATAATTGTTTTTCAATAAAATAAGCCCAAAATGTTACATAAACAAGACATTTATACAGTATTTTGTTAGCTACCGATTCCTCTATGAAATGGTAAAGGTTGGGGGAGTGTGATGGTGAAGAATTGAACAATTTAAAATAACTCCTTCTGATTGGCCAGACCACCCACCCCTAAGGAGAAATGGGAGATATAGTTGAGGAATCTCCTCCCACCCCCCACCCCTTCACACACACACACACACACACGTACACACACATTGCACCCCCATTCCCAAAATAATCAGCTTTGGGGCTTGACCAGCTGGCCTCTGCTGCAAGGAACTCTGGGATTTCCCAGGGTGCAATATGTGATGAGACATTTAAACACATTAGGCCTCCAGAGCAACGTCTGCTTTATTAACTGAGATGCTTTTAGATCCTCTTTCCTCTGAAGCTCTGGAACCATCAACAGGGTGGGTTGAAACTGTAAAATTGCAGTTAAATTTGCTAATCATGCCTTTTATTATGCCTTCAACATCTTTTCTCATAAAGATCAGCTGTCAGTATTCAGATAAAAGTTTATATTTGAATGCACATGTCATGAGTTAAATCAACAGGAAAATAACAGTGCTTTTCCCCCTTTGAGCCTATATGAATTATATTTGGGTGGAATAGCAGAAGGAAAACATTTACAAACCTGATTTGCTTTGTGTTCCAATGAGGAGGATGGGCCTTTTCATGGCATTTAGGGATTTTATAGCAGGAAAAGCATGTGTCTAATTTCTAACATGAGCCATTAGTTATGTGGAAAGGTGGTGCCTGTGCTTTTCAAGATGAGTAAAAATACCTGCCGTGAGTAGATGTAGAGGTACATGCACTGGCAACTCCTACTGTTTGGTCAGGTTGACTGTTCATTGAGGAGACAAGGGGTGATCTAGGAGATAATGCAAACCTCGTTATCTGTCTAGATATCATGGTGACTCTCCTCCCTTTCAGTCTATCATGACTCTGCAGCAAAAAGGAGCTTTGCAGGATGTTACAGCGCCATGCTACGCAAAAGACACAGTTCCATTTTACGTGTCTTATGGGACCAGAGACCACCACAAGAGGACTCCCATGCAGGTAGAAGTGAGGGATTAAACAAACTCATCTTTGCTCCATCATCAACTGCAATTGAAAGAACTTGCATCTGCTGTGTTTACGAACTACTTGACAAGTTATCAG